CATCTGGGCATGTCCCCTCCTACACAAAATTGACATTCACACGGTTGGTGGTGGTGGGGAGATATCTGTCCTTTTTTCTTTTAATATTTAAAAGAGGACAGACGGGTGCAGAGGGGAAGGGGGCATGACGGGGAAATGGACGCGTGTACCTTTGTGTAACTTTTTTTTATTTTTATGACCTCGAGTTTTACCGCACGGGCTCGGAGTGATAAGCTACGCAAACCGCGGTGACATCCCTAACGTGGCACATCACTATGGTGAGGTACTCTTTGGTGAGCCACTGGAACGACTGCTTCCCCCAATTTGGCGAAAACAAATGGGGAGGTCTATTTTTATTTACAGAGCTACAAACATTTTTTCTGTGTAACTGATCGCCCATGAGTAGGACAACCTAGAGGACGCCATTCGAGTGGATGTCTGTTCCCCCACGTGGAATTCTCCCAATGGATGATGTTTTCAACTACGTGTAGCTAGCTGTGCAAAAAAAAAAAAAAAAATTCCTTAGCTCACCATTATGAATAACACAGCTTTTCAAACAAATGGGAAAAGCAGACTTTTGCAACACAATTGCACACCGTTCATCGAATCCATCGCTTACTTCCCAGTACAGGTGGGGACAAATAAAACAACCTCACATTTTCCACACCACCCTGTCCATCTACCCTTTACATTTTTGTTACATATGGCACGGTACCCAAAATATGCTACGTTCTCTTTCGTTTGCCTTGCTATACAAAAGGGGGGTACAAGGAATAAAAAAAAAAAAAAAAAAAAAAAAAAGTCGCGCAAAAGAATGCACCCAATTAAATGACAAAGACGAATATAAAACAATCACAACCCAAGGGAATGGCTTGTCTGGTGGTCTTTTCGATGGGATAACAAATCATGGGTAGTAGCTTCAAATGGTGAGTGTACTGTCTAGGGAATAAATACCGGACATCACGTTGAACCAATGTAGAGGGACGCAAAAACACATGGTTTTGGGCACACCGTTGGAGAAGAGCCTGTCGTAGGGGGGGGAAGGCTTTCTTCCTCCTCCATTTGGCATATACTCCCACAACGGACACGCTGTTCTCCCACACCTGTTTGATCAATTTTCCCTTTATTCCCCACCTCTGTAAAATACATCGCCGACCCAGATTTGTTAAACTGCCAGCGGGGCGTGAGCGGAAAAAAGGTGTTATTATATACCTCCCTTTCCCCTTGGGGGGGAAAATATATTTTTCTTTTTTCCATATGAGTATGCCAGACGTATGCTATAAAAAAGGAAAATCACACCATCGTGTTGGCCTGTATTTCACCAATGTACCCGTCACGCGGTAGGGTAACCCGAATGGGGGAAAGGTCATTTTTTTTTTTTTTTTTTTTTTTTTTTTTTTTTTCCCATTTGTGCGCTTTGGCCAGACGCCCACTGATCAGTCGGTCGGTGTGTGTGGCAGGTGAAAATAAAATTGAGATAACAGCCCCCCCCCCCTCATCTGGGCATGTCCCCTCCTACACAAAATTGACATTCACACGGTTGGTGGTGGTGGGGAGATATCTGTCCTTTTTTCTTTTAATATTTAAAAGAGGACAGACGGGTGCAGAGGGGAAGGGGGCATGACGGGGAAATGGACGCGTGTACCTTTGTGTAACTTTTTTTTATTTTTATGACCTCGAGTTTTACCGCACGGGCTCGGAGTGATAAGCTACGCAAACCGCGGTGACATCCCTAACGTGGCACATCACTATGGTGAGGTACTCTTTGGTGAGCCACTGGAACGACTGCTTCCCCCAATTTGGCGAAAACAAATGGGGAGGTCTATTTTTATTTACAGAGCTACAAACATTTTTTCTGTGTAACTGATCGCCCATGAGTAGGACAACCTAGAGGACGCCATTCGAGTGGATGTCTGTTCCCCCACGTGGAATTCTCCCAATGGATGATGTTTTCAACTACGTGTAGCTAGCTGTGCAAAAAAAAAAAAAAAAA